GCAACATATACAAGAACGTCGTCGTTGTTTGCTTCCAAGACTTGCTTCATGGCGTAGAACGAGATGAATGTCTTACCCGCTGAAGTCGGCGCGATGACGAGCAGACTGCGACGTGCGTCAATCTCATCTAGCACACGTCGCTGCCACGCATCTGGCTCGAAGGGTACACGGGAGTCTGGCGCCGAATCGATTGTACGGTCGAAGTACGGTCCGCAATGAAGAAGCTGGAACTCCTCTGGGGAAAGGGTCAAGGCTAAGTCCGATACGACAGTCTCGTCCAAGGCAAACTTGAAAGGCAGCTTCCGGTCGCCTTGTTCTGCTGGAACTTGTAAAATTGGTAGCTTCAAGCGCTCCACTGTTTTAGAAAGGCACTTCGCAATCGTCTTGCTCACAGTTGGGTAATTGCAAAGAGTTCGTGCAGTGTCGAACAAAAGTGCGGCGACGTATAGGCCCTTCTCTTTGGCACCGTCGCGGCAGAAACGTATCCACATTTCCAAAAGAACGTTCAGCATGTACATGCGAACATCTGGACCAATTACTTGACGCTGAGCCTCATTGCGGTCGGCCAGATATTGCCTAGCTTTGTTGTATCTTGAGGCCAAGTCAACTTGCTTCTCGAGGCCTGCGCACGAAACTGTCCAGGCTTGATACCATTGTTTCGCATTCTCTTCGTCTTTTCGCTTGGAGCTGGCAGCGATGTTGGCAAGCATTGCCTCTTTCGATGCGTTGATATTCTTGGTGCTCTGTCTTGACACTTGCTTCGGCCGTTTGTTCTCGACTGCCTGGGTTGGCGTCATGGTTTTCGCCTGGCCTGCTTTTGACTTGTCGCCGAGCGTGATAGTCTCTGGATCTAGTACTTTGCCAACAGCATTCGTGAGGCTGGCGGCATACGACGTCATCTCAGCCATGAAGAACTGGTTTCGCCGGAGAGCCTTCTTCGCTATCTTGGGGTCTTTTTCGACGACAACCTTTGCTTTTTGGTTTAGTGACCTCTGATTATGCCAATGCGTGACCTCGCGGAAGATGTTAGCAGTAGTGGTATCTGCCTTACCCCCCGACTTCGATACGTCTAGTTTGATTGGGGACAAATGTGGGTCGAAAATGCTATTCGAGAAGGGTAGAACCTTATACGCAGAAACCTCCTCATCATTACCGTTGGCTGCAGTAGAGTCTTCACTCGCTGCTGAAGAAGCTTTTGGCTGAGACGGGAGATCATGAGCATCCAAAGCTGCTGTGGCCTTGAGTAGGGTGTGTAGGTGTTCGCTAGGTTCCGTTGTGGGGTTGCGGGCACATGACGCGAGAAGCCGTCCGTCGATGAGATCTGCAAGATCGCAATCTGGATGGCCCTTGAAGGCCTCTGCCCATGCCGGACTACCAATGAACTTGCGTGCCTCGCAACAGAAATCCAAGATGAAAGACTTGACTTCATCCGGAATTTCACGATGCTTGATGATACGATCAGACAGAGGAAGCTCTGAAAGCAATGATGCATGTTGCAGCAACACAGATGAGAGGTCGGCGTTCGAAGCTGCCAGCTTCGAAACTACTAATACCGTGAGGTATTCGCGCTCAGTCAGAAGTTGATCGCAAGACATCCTGATAGTCTGCAAGAAGCCGCGCATATGCGATAGATCGACGACATCAGTCAATCTTTTGTTTGTATGAGGTTCCTAAGCAAGATAATCAGCAAAAAAGTAGGGCAAAGCTAGCACCATCCGGAGGATGTTAATAGTGCTGCAGGCCACTTACAGCTGATGAGACATCAAGTGTCATTGAACGAGCATGCTCGAGAACAGTTGTAATGACCTTGGTGTCGGCCCACTCCAATCCGTTTACTAGCGCAGCACTGTATCCCCGCTGCATCATGCTATATATGAATGTGCGGAAAGAAGTCTTGTAATCTTGCTGCCGCTGCTGCTTATCGCGGTCTTCGCCCTGGAGTGAGTCGAGGTCCCTTTGTAGGATCAATCTCTTACGAATATCAGTGAAGGAGGCTCCATCATGACACAAGACGAAGTAAATGTCTGTGGCACGTAGGTACTCCGCAAACGCTTCTGAGGATATTGATGGAAAGGCATTAATCTCAATCTCCGGAACAACGTCTGGCAAATTGACCTTGAGATGACGAATGATAGCTGCTCGTGCAAGCAGGTATTTTTCGCTGAGTTCTGGTGATGCATCCTGGGGTACGCAAAGATCTTGATGTTCGTCGAAGAAAGCAATGTGGAAATTGCAGGCTCGAGAAACGAGGCCTTGTAGGAACTTCTCAACAGCGTATGACGCGTGCAGTAATTGATAACCAGGATCGAAATCGATGTGTGGGTCGCTAAAGCACTGAAGCAAGAGTGATTCGCCGTGTACGAGGAACCGCTCACTACCTGCGAAGTCGCCAACCAGGTCGACCCGGCGGCTGTAGAGATTTGAGTACCATTGGAGGATTTGCTCCTCAGTACCCTGGTTGTTGGCAGCCATGCTGGGTGGTCTGCAAGAGAGTGAAGGATGGGCGGTGGTCAGAAGGGTGGTGAAAGAATGTTTATCCCCTCAATCGTCTAGATAGTGGGAGGTGCCTGTAAGTGGGTAGCCGCTGGTGGCGGATAGTGGGACTGTCGATCCTGTGCCAAGTCCCAGAAGAGCTTTGCGGTTTAGCTCGAATGACTGATGCTTCTTCTGCCTCGGTTGGTGTCTGACGCAACCGGTGAAAGAGATGTAAGATTGATAAAATGTTGAATGTAAACACGTACGTCGGATGTGATGTACGTACTGTCAACTGGAGTCGAGTGGAGCCAGAGGTCTGGATTCTGCGGATTTGGAAAAGCCGAAAAGCCTGACGCGACTAGTGCGCGCTAGTGGGGGGTTAAGCGACTGTAACACGCTGCGCTGTAGTCGTTGCAGTGTCTTGCCAACATAACGGCAAGTGGCACATCACAGCTGTGTGCAGATGAACAAAGACTAATCAAAACTAGCGTGACTTTTGCTTCGAAGGAAACAAGCTCGTGAGGACTGTATCTGCAATAGCCATACAAATCGAGAGTTTTGCGCCTATAAATGCATATTGTTTCAAGACATGCAGTAGCCTGCAAGGAGCATCCGAACGCCTCCGTGACGCAGCGTAGACAGACAGGCATACATTCAAATAAACTACGGCACCTTGTTTGCTTCGAAGCCCATCGCATGTGAAGAGAAATCCTCGACTGAACACATACATGGGTATGCAAGACCAGAACACTTGGAGGGGACAGGCTGAGATCGTGCCGATCCAATGTAACATGGTGGGTGCTGTACAGATAAAAGCAAGTCTTGCTTCTGTTCAAGTGAGGTCAGACGCTGCCGAATTCCGCGTAGAGTTATGTACTCACCAGAACTACCCCACTACCCCAGAATTCAGATCTCTAGTGGAGCAAGGAATTCGAGCTTGGCATGTGGTCAGCTATATCTGGCGTGTCTTACAATCTAGCTTACCGAGACGAGACGATTCCAGTGCGCTGGACTAGGTGGGGGCTGAGGTGGAGGAGAAGGCGGATCATCTCTTGAGCGATCTTGCGGCGGTGTGGACATGGATGAGCTTGTTAGGCCATGAGCAGAGCGTGGATTGACAAGCTCGAAGACGTTATCCACCGAGGGACCCATAGTGATGCCCATGGTAGCCGCGTGGTGATTTTGGAAAATGGTTGAAAAGTAGTAGTATCGCGGAATCGAGAGTGAGGATTCAAATATGGTAGTCTAGGAACTATCTTGCTGAGAGAGTGAGGACTTTTGTGGAGGACAAAACACTAACGCAGTCTCGACATTAAATAGTCTAGGACAAGGTTTTGCTACACTCCCAATCGAACACCACGAGGGCTCGTCTAGTGGCTTACAGGGGCGGATGTCTAGTTGGCAGATCCAAAGAGCCAGGCAAAAGACAATCAGAATCGCAGCGGCCCGTCCGCGGATAGACGGGTGGCGTCAGGAAGGACCAAGTCTAAATTGTCATGCTGGAATGAGATGCTGGTTTGGTAGACAAGGAGCACAAGCGGCGAATGAGTGGCTTGGCTGAGCAGAAGAAGGCAGGAGTTGAGTGTGGAAGACGACATTTTGAACGGCGGTAAACAACGTGTCGACGGGTGAGAGCACGGCGAGCGACAGTCGACTGATTGTGTGACAAGGGAGGACAGGGTTGAGTACTGCTTGCGATTCATCAGGCGTCGGGGAAGACGATCCGGAGCCGCACGAGTTGTCGTGCAAGGTGCCTGGGGGAGATTGCTTTCCCTCAAGAAGTAGGGTTTTGAAATGGCGGTCTACGAGCCATGATGTCAGCATGGATACGCGAGTACTTTTATTCGACCCAAGGCTTGACTAGACGCCTCGTATTTCAGCTACCACAAACTTCTGTTGGTTCGTAGAGCTGCGTGCTTTCCCGTGCTTGGACTTGGAAACGATCAGCAGGTGACGAGGCTGCGATGTTTGTCTATTCTCTCGAGTGAAGCAAACGGCTGGCCAGTCAACATGGCCTCACTGCAGGGTGTTGATCAAGACGTGCCAACGTGGATAGACGCCGCTTCGGAGGAGTCGTCTATGGGTGTGAAGGCCAAGCAGGCGCGCTCGGACACGATGGCGCGCGCGCCAAGCCCAACGCGGGCCCTGGAGCACCGCGACTTCCTTTGTGGTAGACTCACTCTGTCTGCGTCAATCCAGCCCTGCCTCGGCCGTGTAATTCACCAGCTGTTGCCTGTACCAGCCCATCCAGCACAAGCACACACGCCAGAGCCAGAAGCGACAGACGCCGAAACTCCGCGACACGGCCCACCACTTTCGCATGCGCGCGTCCGGAATGTGCTTCTTTGGGTCGTAGGGCTAGCAATCACATCCGCCGTCTCTGCGTCACCCGCCTGGTGATACCCTCGCCGCCCTCCCATCGGCCCTCTTCGCCCATTCCGCTTCATTAGACTCAGCGCGCCCGCAGTCCGACAGCCCCACCGGCTCCAGCTCACAACTCGCACATCGCACTGCGCCCCGCCAACATGTCTTCGGTCTGGAACCCCGACAATGTACGCGACGTGGCCGAATCTGTGGGCATCGCCTCACTCGCCGACAATGTGGTAGAAGAGCTGGCACGCGACGTCGACTTCCGTTTGGCCCAAGTGCTGGAGGAAGCTCTCAAGTTCATGCGGCACGGGAAGCGGACGACACTGAGCACACAGGACATATCCAATGCCTTGAAGGTCCTCAACGTGGAGCCCCTCTACGGCTACGAATCTACCCGCCCGCTGCGCTTCGGCGAGGCTTCGCTGGGCCCTGGCCAGCCTTTGTACTATGTCGAGGATGAAGAAGTCGATTTCGAGAAGCTCATCAACGCCCCACTGCCCAAGGTCCCACGAGAGATTACCTTCACCGCACACTGGCTCGCTGTCGAAGGTGTTCAGCCTTCAATACCTCAGAACCCAAACACAAATACAGGCGATCTCCTGCCCAAGGGCCCCAACGCAAATCCACACCTGGCTGCTGCCAATGGCCTCGACAACGTCAACGTCAAGCCGCTGGTCAAACACGTCTTGTCCAAAGAATCCCAAGAGCTGTTCAACAAGCTTTCGGGCGCCCTCATCGACGAAACCAACATTGAGTGGCAGAATGCAGCACTCGCAGCCATCTCGACAGAGCCCGGCATTCACCAGTTGACAACATACCTGCTCAGCTTTATTGCCGAAAAGGTCACACACAACATGAAAAACCTATTCATATTGACTCAGATGATGCGCGCTGCAGAAGCCTTGCTGAAGAACCAGGCCATCTACCTCGATCCGTACGTCGCATACATGGTACCACCCATCCTAACATGCTGCACTGGCGGCAAAGTAGGGCCAGCAAACCCAGCACCATCCAACGCTTCTTCGGAAACGCTCAACGGGGTTATGCCCGACCACAACCGCGCTAGCCAAGATGCCTTTTATCTGCGAACTCTTGCAGCGCATCTACTCAAAGATATCTGTAGGAAGCACGCGTCGTCGAATCAAGGACTCAAGTCACGGATTGCGCGCACCTGTCTCAAGCAATTCATGGACCCCGACAAGTCGGTTGGGACGCACTTTGGTGCATTACAAGCACTCCTCTTGGTCCTGGGTGCCGGCGACGCACTAAGGGGGCTCATCTTACCCAACATTAAGATGTACAATGATGACTTCCTTTCTAAAAAGCTCGCCGACGAAAGCACAAGGCACGACGCCGAGATTCTTCTTGCAGTGCTTGTGGGCTCTTTCCCAGCTCTGGTACCCAAGAGCATGAGGGAGAAGAAACAGAGAGAGCAACAGCAAGGAACATACAACGCGCCAAATCTCGATGACCTCCGGGAGCAACTGGTCAACAAGGTCGGCAATCTTGTAGCTGCGTATATGATTCAGAAGGGAATGGACCTGGAGGTACAGGAGATTTTGCGGAAGGACTTTGATATTTGAGATATTTAGGACACAACTATATCGGGCATTGCTACTGGCGTTCAGGATAGGGTGCTCGCTTGGATGATACCATTTGCCCCGAGACAAAGCGTTCACGAGGGCTTGAATTCAACCCGCCATCTTCATTAGAGCATCGTTCATATGTTCAAGCATCTTTACTGCGCATCCAGATTCTCGTCGTTGTACATCTACGGACTGCATGACGCATCCCTCATGCGACACTCATCCCCCTCTCTCCCCTGCCTTGTGTAAGGCAACAATAGCGACTCATCACCGCCATCGTCGTCCGTCCATCTCCTTATCTGCGCAGCAACAGCACTGACAGCGCCATCTACAAACCCTACGCCTTCATCGATCCAACTCTTGCTCTTCTCAACTAGACCACTTCCAGTAAATGAATGATTAAATTCAGACTGTGGCTGCCTCCGACCCGTCAGAGGTGCTGTGCCCGCTTCCAAAGCTTCTATATCAGAAATATCAAGCTCAAATGTCTGACTGCTATGGTCGTTGGTGTGGCTCGGCGCCGGAGATACTGATCTTGACACTGGGACTGAAGTCGCAGTCTTAGTGGCGAAGAAGGCTGCTCGTTCAGTTTTCCACTCTGAAGAAGTACGCTTTACTAGTACGCCGCCTGTACCTGGTTGAAGGGAGCCGTTTGGAGATGGATCTAGAAAAGGATTCACTGGCGATGAGGCCACGGATGGAGTCGGAGAGTGCCGAGCGCGGGCTATTGGAGTAGGTGGATGGTTGGATCGTGAGTTTGCTGATGGTGGGGAGGGTATGCGGCAGTGAAAAGTGTGTGTGCGATCTCGAGCTTCGGTGTGAATTGGCCGGCTTCGCGGACGGTTGAACTGAGATGGCTTGTTTCGGGGTCTGTACTTCATCTCAATGTTCTCACCAATATGCCCGTTGTTTCCCAGATACGAGAATGGGACCTGGGCTGCCGACGTGACGGCGCTATCACTGTCCATGTCCATATTCGTTGCCATATCAACCCATGTCTCGCTGCTACCGTCATGTCGATGCGCGTACTTGCTCACTTTGTCAATCGGTCTCTTCTCTTCACCCGTGCTCTTTGCTCTCCTCTTTCTGGTTCTTTTTCCCTTGTTCGTTACACTCCTCATGTCCATCCACGCATTAACCGCCCAAACCATAACCGCCCACACGACTCCTAGTACCATGATAGCCAGCGTACCAACGAAGAGCAACTTGTAGCCTGTGGGTAGGTACGACAGTTCGTAGTCCATCCGGCTCATAATGTCCGAATGATACGGGCTCTTGTTGTGCCGAACAGAATCTTGATATTGCAATGGATTCGAGGTTTGTGCTGATATGGCTGTATGCGGTACGATCTCTTCTGGATAGAGAAACCCCGGAGGTGAGATGCGGGGGTATTTCGAGTGGCGGGGTGGTGGAGGTGCAGATGTCAGTAGCATTATCGGTACTGTTGACGTTACGTCATGGGAAGGTCGAAGTGAATGGGGACTTGAGGGTGAGGCGTTGTCAACATGAAATGCGTAGTGTATACCAGGTACAATACCTTGAATTTGAGGGATGGGAAAGTGGCGGGTAACGTGCACGTCAGGTGTGGCAGATGCCCAGTTGAAGGTTGAACTACTGCGGTACGAGTCTGTTGTCTTGGACGGCGACGGCTGCTTCGCTGCGCCGTTGTTAGTATACAAGGTATCTTCCGCAGTTGCAGCCCCACTCTCATGTTGCTTGCGTATTGTCGTAGTGACAGTATGTACTTTTCTGCGATCTTGCGCCGCCGGTGCCATAATACGATAGAATGTAGGTTGCAGATAGGTGCACTACTAAGAAAGAATGTCGATGAAATTGTGCGGCTAATCGTAACGATGCAAAGAGCAGGTAGCCAAGATCACACGAGAGTTTACAAGATGGGCAGCAGCCATGGAAACAATGCAGGACAATGTCTCAAAGGGAGTTTCTAGAATGAGCAGTCGTGAAGCAGAAATGTCATACATCAACGATTCAACAAAGAAAATTGTTGCATAGAATGGCACAACAACAGCATTAGTTCACAAGTCATAGATTTTTTGAAGCATGAATATACGGTGACGTTGTAATAAAAGACTAGGATTATGTATGTACTATGTGAAGATGTCGCGCAGGTGGAGTGCTGGCAGGAAAGCAAACGCCGCCCAATGGGATATCCAAACTGTAAATCTATGATGCATGATGGAGAATGCTTTTGAACAAGATGATGTGGTATCGCAAGGAACACGTAGTACCATGAGAAGCGTAAACAATGCCGATGCAGCCAAGGCCGCGGCGGGATTGTATACTGCATCTCTCAAGCAGAGTGCTACACTTTCATGTTGAAAGTGCGGGTCATAAAGTACCCACAAGTAAAAGGATTGTCGTAAGACCGTAGCATAATATACATGTCGAGCTCCAACCAGGGCGCTTATCTACGGTTGAAGTTGAGGTACTTTGCAGCAACGAAAAGGATAATCAAGTTGCTAGCAATGAATGCAGCAAAGATACCCAGATCCCTCCACCTGTTGCTGAACTCGTATCCGAGCGGCTGGTAGAACTCGTCGCCGACCTTGTAGGCACAGTAGTTGCAGGCGGAGGTGGCATTGTCGAGGATATAACCAGGCGCGCCATTGGAGAAGAAGTCACTCATGTACGATCCGCAGTCCTGGCCCTGTGGGGCGTTGAACTGGTTGTACTCGCCGGGTGTACATTGGACAGAAAGGTCGTGGAGTTCCGTGACAACCATGCCACCAATGAGGCGGGTGAACGGGTTAAGCTCGTAGAGCCACACGCGCCAAAACTTGGGAATCTGGGGCTTAGGGATCGTGACACCACAGAAGAGGGCGAAGATGATGATGATAAAAGGGTTAACGTAGGAAGCGATGAATGGAGATGGTGTCAGTGCAGCAATCGCCTGAGCCAAAGTGACGGAGAAGACCTCTGTGATGAGCACAATGAAGAATTGGTATCCAGCGCGGGAGCTGTCCGAGTTCAATCCGGGGATGTAGTAGAGCGGAAGGAAGAAGCAGACAGCGCAGAGGACGCTGTACGGCATCTCGGCAACGACCATAGACAAGGCGAAGGGGAAAGTCTTGTATGCCTTGGACATTTGCTCGCGGAAAGAGATCATACGCTGGATGGCGTACTTGGGTTCGACCTGAGCGAGAATCAGGGCAGGCAGAACGGTGACCTGGAAGATGATGAAGACGCGGTATTGCAGAGATGCTCGAGAGTCGTCAAGCTGGAGGTACATGAGACCTGTGAGTAGAGCGATGATGACGTGGTTGAAGAGACGAGTGAAACCGTAGTTAGGAGTACGCCAGAAAGAGAGATTCTGGCGTTTGATAACCTGCTTGATCTGGTAAGACAGTGGTGTAGCGTACTCCTGTTGGTCAACTGGTTCGGCAGAACCAACGGCAGCCATGCGCTCTTCCTTGACCTCAACAATGTGGCGCTTGACCTCGGCAAATTCTTCGGAATCCCGCCAGACATCAGCCCAGTCCTTGTCGCCGATACGAGGAGCAGAACCAGCACCAACAGCATCGAGCATCCACTCAGCGGGGTTGGCATCAGGTGGACAGTCAGCACCGTGACGATGGAAGTACCCTAGGAGAACGTGGGCGTCCTTGCCAATGTCACCGAAGTATACACATTGACCACCCCTTTGGAGGAGTAACAGACGGTCGAAGTTCTCAAAGAGAGCAGAGTTAGGCTGATGGATTGTGCACAAGATGGCTTGACCGGCGGCGGCAAGTTTGCGAAGGAAACGAACAATGTTGAAAGCGCTCTGCGAGTCGAGACCGGAGGTAGGCTCGTCCAAGAAAAGCAGGAGCTCAGGCTTGGCCGCGAGCTCGACACCGATAGTGACACGTTTGCGTTGTTCGACAGCAAGTCCACTTTCGGGATCACCAATGATAGCGTCTGCGATATCTTCCATTTCCAATAAGGCGATGACCTCCTCGACGTAGGCGTACTTCTCAGCCTGAGGAGTCTCGTACGGTTGTCGCAAGTCAGCAGAGAAGCGGAGTGCCTCGCGGACCGTTGTAGCAGGCTCGTGAACGTCAAGCTGTTCAGCGTAGGCAGTTCCTCGCTGGAAGGCAATACCGGGAACCTTTCCATCAACAAGCTTGTCACCGCTGATGACACCAATATTCTTGCGGTTGGCTAGCACATCGAGAAGCGTGGTCTTTCCAGCACCAGAAGCACCCATGAGGGCTGTCAGTTGGCCGGGCTTGACATATCCGTAGATGTTGTTGAGCAGGCGGAGCTCTCCGCTAGGGACAGGAACGTCGTAGCAAAGATCCTCCCAAGTGAGAACAGCCTTAGAAGCAATGTTGAGGTCCGAGCCCTGGTCGCTGCTGTCTTCCTTGCGGTTACGCTTGTCGCGCTTCTCTTGCAACTTGGCATTCAGTTCCTTGAGTTCCTTGTTCTCCTTAACGAAGAAGGTGACGGTACGTCCACCAGCACCCCACTTGACGAACTCTCCGAGGAAGGCGTTGGCGAGAAGAAATCCGACGATGAGGGCGACCATGATACCATAGTGCATCCAGAGGTCTGAAGGATCCCATGAGAAGGATGTCTTGATGTAATTGGTACCAGATACGATGGGGTTACCAGCTTCACTACCAGGCAGAGTGCAAACCTGGGCGTCAAGGTTGTCGTAGCCGGGTCCAGAAGGAACCAGAGAACTACCGGCACAAGTCAAATCCAGGCGGCTAAACTCGTTCATCATGAGAGCAGAGAATCCCAATCCTAAAGCGTTGATGTAGAAGATCCACCGAAGCCAGACTTGCTCGGACTGCCACTGGATAAGATAACCGGAGGTGAGTACGAATAGTGTTATGATCGTAGCAGCTAGACGGATTGCAACATCGAAGTCTGGACAAAGACATCCAACCGTTCGGAAGAACAGTGTCATAGCCAGATAACCAGTAATGATGACCAATGCGAATGTGAAGAAAGCTCCAGCATCTCGGACCAGATTCGTCATAAAGTACACAATGATGGAGAAGACTAGAATCTGCACGGATGCAAACAGTAGATCAACACCAATCTGTGCTATCCAAAGGGCTGACGGTCGGTGGAATGTAAAGGCGCGATGTTTGTTAATAATGGGTCTGCCTAACATAGTGGATGCCAATTCGGAGAAAGCCTGGAAAGCGTTGAAGAGGAGAGCAATGAAGAGCACACCACCACGGGTGAAAGCACCTGCGGAGGTATCAGGAAGGTCGAGCCAGACGGTACCGGTGATGATAGCAATAGAGATGGAAGTAATCCAAGAGACAACAAGGGCGAACTTGTCCTGCCATTTGAGCAAGAACTGGCGCTTGGCCAAAGCCCAGACCTGGAGATAGAACGGAATCGAGTAAACGGACTTCTGGGGTGCGTGGCGTTTTGATTCCTTGACGGCAAGCTGGAAGTCATCGTAGACGTGCTTCTCCTGATCCATCTGTGCCTTGTAGGCTACCATTTCGGCATCGAGCCTAGCCGCGGTCTCGGATTGCTTGAAAGCTTCAGCAAGCGCTTCAGGGGTAGAAGGAACATCCTTCTCGCTCATGCCGGGCTTGAACTCGCGCTCAAAAGGATCTGTGCAACCAGTGAGGTAGTCGGGGGTTGTCTGACGGGGCTTCTCCAAGAAGCCGAGACCCTCGAAATACGCGCGAGCTTCTTGGGCAGGTCCAAAGTATGCTTGTCGTCCACTGTCGATGACCATGACTTTGTCGAAGCACTTGTAGATGTTCTCAGAAGCCTGGTAGAGGGATACAAAAGTTGTGGTCTTGTAGATGTTTGTCAGGACCCTAAGCGAACGCGCATAGTCGACAGCAGTCGAGGCATCCAATCCTCTTGTGGAGTTGTCCCAGCTCATCAGGGAAGCACCAGTGATCATGGTCTCGGCAATCGAAACACGCTTCCTCTCTCCTCCACTGACACCACGGACGAAGGGGTTGCCGACAATGGTGTTGCGGGTGTGCTCGATATTGAACATTTTGAGCATGAGGTCAATGACCTTCTCCTTGAAGTCTTGTCGGGAGAGTCCGGCCGGACGCTTTCCTGGTACCTTGGTCTCTAGCGCAAAATCAAGTGTTTGTCCAACGGTGAGGGTAGGGTGGTGGTTCTCGTCCTCCTCGCAGTATACGGCCTCTCCTCGATACCTCTTCTCAAAGAAGTCTGCATCGAATGGACCGTATAATACGTTTCCATCTACCTTTGTGTATCCGTATCGCTGGTTGCTGATGACCTTGAGGAATGTAGTACATCCACTTCCTGGCTTGCCTAGAACCAGCACCATCTCGCCAGGCTTAACAACACCCTTGAAGTCTTTTAGGATGTCGAACTCTTTACCCTTCTTGCCGAGGCCGAGGATGCTGGCGGCAGTTTCGAAGACATTGAAGAATGATACGAAGGCATCTGGGAAGGTCTTGACGTAGTTCTTTACACCACCTATGGGACAATTAGCACGTGTTTCCAATGCAGATAATGCAAGGTAACCATACCGATACCGCTAACGGTGAGACCGTCCCATACAACACCAATGCGCTTCGACTTGATGCCTGCTGCCTCTTCCTCATCTTTACCACCACGCAGAGTGGCTTCAAGATCGAAAGGCTCATCCGAGGACTCGGAACCCTCAACAGTGGCCTTTTCTACGTCTGTGACGACGTCGCCTTTGCGACTCTGCTTGCTCTGTACGCGACTCAATCGGCGCGAGATGTTGCTAGCACGGGAGAGCTCTTTTGATAGTTCGGCAAAGTCAGCCTCGGCACGTTGGATGTCGACCCCACCCGTAACATTGCTGAAACCCTTTTCGTTGTTTGCCGAATTGCGCGCGGTGCTGTCGGTAATGGACGCAGTCCTGACGCTGGCATCATCACGGTGAGTATGGTTGCGGTTGGGGTGAATTGCCTCAAAGGTGGTGCCTTCGGTGTGCTCTTGGATCTGCGTATGCTGGGGAGCGCTGGCGTTATCCATGGCTGCGACTGCGGTACAGGGCGCACCCTGCGTTTCACTTGAACGGTTGCGAACCGGTGCGGACAGAGGCGGTGTCTCACACTTCTGCGGGCCCGGAAAAGAAGCGAATTATAAGGAACGTATGGAGATGTCGAACAAGAAAAGCAAACGAACAACAGAAGGGCGTCGAGGGATGTCGCAACGGCTAAATAAAATAAGAAAACAGTACACGACTCGGAGATAAGAGGAACTAGTTCCGAAAGGAGCCAAGGGCACAATCCTGCAGAGATGGCGCCGGGTGCGGCTAGGGCAGATCTCTTATTGTCGCAGCTATCAGGCCGCGGGTCTGCGACAAGTAAGTTTGATGTCCCATCATTCTTCAGCGGACTTGTTCGCACGGAGATAGTCGTGTGTATCACAACGCGCAATCCACTCACTCCGCTACACCATGATCGACGGCACAATCATTTTGCATGCAATCCGGTTAGATTCCGCCATGCATGACGCTGAGATCTCTGGGCAGACGCGAGAAAGCACCGCTGTACCAACGCTATGCGGCTCAGCGCCGGGAATGGATGCTAGTGGGAATATCTGTATACCAGCTCGCCGACGCCATGGTGCAACAAACTCAGTAGGTGAAGCCTCGGGCGCAGGGACTACAAACATGGCTCATAGTGATGCCTCGCGCGCGCAGTTGTTGAGGAGGATCAAACGAGAACAATCTCGTGGAGTAGCTTGACTCCGCTAGGCGTGATTTGCTTGCCTGCTTTTTGCTCCACTTGTCTCCACAGTGAGTTTGTAAGCCTTCTGCATTCAGCGCCTTGGCTCCGACCCCTTCACTCCGCCGTTGCACACCAACGGGCCGACACCACCTGCGTCCGCCCTTTCCACGTTGGTCTCCATCCCGTTAGGAACAGGAGTCGTCGCGGTCACCATGTTCCCATGCGAGCGGTAACCTGGAACAGTGCCCGATTCCTCGTCCTCCTTGGACCCCCCACTTTCTGAACACTCGACGACTCGACTCCCAGCATCGATCGCTCAGCCCTACTAGGGGTACGTCTCGACTGCACGTTGCCCTATCTTGGCGTCGGTGTTCCGCCGCGGGCTACCGGCAACTACTTCGGCAACCCGACTACGCCCTTTTTCGACTCATTCTCGCTCATTCTCGACGCAATCATGAATCTTCGATGCATCTCAACCTTCTGATCTGCAGCAAGGGCCCTGTCACGGTTGCATCGCACACAACGGCTCACACCGACTCATATCAATTGTCGCTGCCTATGCCAATTCCTAACTTGGCCCAGAATTAACGTGTCTTCACCGCGCTTTTTTCCCACTTGAACAATTTCGCTTCAGCCGCACCGACTAATTTTAGACCGCTTGTTGCTTTCCAGATCCGACACCGGTTCCCAAGGTGTGCCAATAAACTCTTGAGAACTAACACACCATCGCAACGTCTTATCACGGTCTTCACGCATCTTGTGCATATGCGGTTCCACATCACATAGCAGGTCAGCACTATCGTGTCAATGGCATTCTTTCCGTTAGTGCAGTGCACGAGCGCTAATCAAACAACGGCATTGCTTAACAAGCATAACGCAAACATACTAATCATCTTTCTTTTATCGCCATACTTGCCGTTGCTACCTCAGTACACGGAGAATTGTTTTTTCCACCATCACCATTATACCGAGCCCACTTGGAAGTCCAGAATCACGCCTCTACGAACAATTGTAGCTTATAGTACTAGAACTGCACCAACACAGACACATTAGTTATCACAAAAGTCTCCGAGCATCGCAGCATTGATATTGGCTTCAGATGTCTCGAGACAATACGAGCCGACATCCCTATCCATCTCTGCAGATTTCAGCTCAAAGCCTACCATGGTGTTTCCAACCAGTAACAGTTAGGGCCTGAGTAATCAACACGAGAAGCTAAGCGTTGATGCGTCATACTGACTACGATCGCGAACTACACAACGCGAAGTCATGTGAAAGCGCCTCATTTATCTAGGAAATCTAACTGTTATTGGCTCTGCTTGCGAGGAGTCTCAGCCCTCGATAAGGCAGACTTGTCATGAGTGCGCTCTGAAAGCTCACCGAGAAAGCATCAGCAAAGCCATTGTGAATCAATCTTACAGGCATCTCGTGCGCTTTTCGCTTTGTTCGTTTTCCTTGCGACCATGAGCTATCCTGAGGTACGATGTGTACAATTACTTACATATAAGGTAGTATTGATGGCGGTTGTGTTGAAGCTTTATCAAAACTGTGTACTGACTCCTTTTCTACCTGCATTTTATCCGGGATACTGCACATATCATTGATAGACTTCTGGACTCCTTGACTTTGCCTTCAATATGTCTTTTCCGCCTATTCGATTCGCTCCTTTCCAATTGTCGAGCGCACCTTCATCAAGTCAAGCAAACACGCAACAACCTGCCCAGCAGTCACAGACGCCAGCGGCGTCCAGTACATCTGCAAATTCCAGCACATCGGAAAACGCTACATCAAATACGGCCAGTTCAGATACGACAAACTCGCAGAATACGAAGTGACCTACAAGGCATATCGCGAAGGCACTGGACATCTATCCCACTTAATGCATTCCACTGCTTTAACGACTTTCAGGAGGAAACAAAGCAATACAGAGATTGAGTAACGCAACCAACAATAGTATCTGACTGAGGTTGGGATAGACTTGCTTCCCTTCGTTCAAGATTATGGCGTCAATATAATTGTAGGATCATCAAGTATCATTTCAAAAACCGCTTACATGTCTACTGTGTCCATTCTTCAGACCTTCCGATCATCAACAGACTCTGACACCAACCCTCAATCCGCCTCCAAACTCACTGTACTCCGGATCAACTCAGTATTCGTTATACATTTGACTCACATCCATGTCTCCAGATCTCATCTTTAAATCCCGCATGTCTCCAATGCCACCCCACAAAAAAGTAGTTCGTTGAGTTTCTCGGTACCCTGTACCCCCTCATCATAGTGCACGAGCATACATGGGCCCATTACATTTTGTCCACTCGGTCGTACTTCGCGATTACAAATACGAGGTGCTATCACTAGCCAGTCACACCCAGATAGCCAATAATATATTGACCGGTTTCTTGCTATTACGTATACGTTGCCTCGTTCTGGCGTGTAAACACGTACTCGAGTCAGATTTCCCCGACCAGGAAGCAATTGCAGCGTGCATACCTGACCGACTGGATGGTGGGAAAATACTATATTCCATCTGTAATTCTGTACTACAGGATGCGTAGGCATGCTCGTGGGAGGTATAAACTCAATCCCAGACCTTGTCAATAGTTGCGTTGCGATCCGGTATTGTGTGGAAATATAGCGCAAATGTATAGAACACCAGCCATCATGAATCAGACTCTCTTAAACTATGCATAACAAACAATCCTTTCGCAACCAACATCACAAATAACGAGTCGCAAGTTCAGATGGGAACAGATATAGACACATTACAAACAGCTCAAAGATGCCCACACCATACATCTCACTGTTAGTAGACAAAGGCCCAGATATCCTTCTTTTCAGTCCTTTCTGAACTCGTCACAACTGGCAGCTCAGAGGATGACAGCATCTAGAATGTGGAGTTTTAAAATCAAATAAGTAATCTGAAATGTTACACTGAAGAGTACAAAGTAAAACAGCACTGCAGCTTTTTGCCAAATGTCATGACCGTCGCGAAACGAACGATAGAAAGACAACCTCCACCCCAAGACAACACATTCCTCCATTGCGACGCCGTGCCATACATACCAAAGTTGAAACTGACACAAGAAAACTATTGTTTGGGTATGTTGCAGTCGTAGTTCCAATAGTACATCCTGGTTTAATCCGTCCGTCTTCGCCAATTCATACATCTTCGTCTGTCCTTCCTATCCTCATCATAACATACCCAGTTACTCCCAATCCTTAATACCAGACACTCGCCCAAAGACCTGAATGCCTCACACCTACCTCTTCTCGTCCACCTGCATACCGGCTTCAAGTGCAGCAGGTGTCTTCTCCCTCCGCTCTTGACTCTGATCACCAGCACTGCTCGACTCACCCTGCGGCCTCCGTCCAATACGGGCAAGCCAGCTCTCTGCACTCTGTACCGTACCATCAACAACAGTGGTAATTTGACCCATCATATCCAATCCTTCCTTAGCAAACGCCAACATGCGATTTGCGCCTCTAACCTCATCGCCCCCCGCGTGCTCATTGTTCGCATTGCGACCCGCGAGCTGCCATCTCTGAGGTACAGAGAGTAATTGAGTGCGAACGACTGTCTGGGCGTTTTGCGGGAGAGCACCGCCCGTATAGCGGGAAACCGATTGAACAACGGATTGCAGCGTTTGCCAGATATCAGATGAGAGGGCCTTGATACGGTCGGCAATCTTGCGGACTTGGTCGTCTTTGTCCGCGGTGTCGGCAAGGCCCATTTGGGCCATGTTGCCATTGAGTTGCGTCTTCTCATCTTGGCTGCCCGACTGCCTTTGGTTGTTGAGGGCGGTTTCGTACTCTTCGAGCACAAGCTTGAGCGCGCGCATGACGGAGTCGATGTGAGTCGTCGCACCGCGCAGGAGACCGAGGCAAAGCTTCAAGGAGCGTAGGGATGTCTCCGATAGCGCGACACCGAGACCGGAGGTGGTCATGATAAGCTGCGTGGACCAGTTCACGCGCCGGTCTTGCGGGGTGTTTGAGCGTTGGTCTGGCGATTTTTGCGACATGTTCTGTCCAGAGAAGACTGCCTCTTCATAGTTTGGAGAGCGCTGATCATCGTACGCAGGAAGCGACTCGGTGCATGATGATTGTGAACCGCCTCTAGTTCGTGATGCTGCCGCAAGCGCGTCGTCGACATCCATGGCGTCGTCTGCCGGACTAGCAATCCTTTGCCTCTTGCTTCTAGAACTCTCGCCATCACCTTGCTCGAGGTCGCTGGGTCGTCTGTCTCCCAGGTATCGTCGCAAACTCTTCTCCATGCCTGTCCTTCTACCCACAGACGAC